GCTGGGATCTCGTCTCTTCAGTGCTGTTGGTGCTTGTCCCCAGGGCAAGGACTTGGGTGGCTGTGCCACAACCTGCGAGTCCCCAGGTTGGCACTTGTGCCCCAGCTTCCTTGCGTGCACGTTTGGTGAGCATGTTCCTTCTCACTCGTCCGTGTGTGCAGCACTGTGTGTGTGCAGCATTGTGCTGGTGTGAGCAGGGCCTTTCAGGTGCCAATGGATGCTCTGGCATCCCACTGCCAGTTCATCCCTTCCCTCTCTGTCACTGGGCTGAGTGGCCTGGGGTAGTGCTTATGGTTTGCCTGGGAGTGCTCAGGTTACTGATCCCTTTTGGTTTTCGGTTCAGAAGCTCCTTCAGAGGAAGGAGCTGTGTAGCCTCAGACCCAGGGTGTTTCAGGCAGCCCCTGGTTACTGCCCTCCATGCAAGGTGTCCAGCAGGATGGCCGTGTCCTGTGCTTGTGTCCATGGGAGTGGCGGGTGTCCTTCATGAGGAATGTGGAAGCTGGCCCTTGTTTCCCTTAGAGTTTCAATATTTAAAGCAGGTCTAGTTGCAGCCTAGGCTTGGAGAGACCAACTGAATTGTCTCTGAGCAAGCTGGTTGCTGCTTCCTGTCTGTTTGGGACAGCTCAGGTGCAGGTTTGGTTCTGTTACCTGCTGGTACAGAGTCTTCTCTGACCTTTGTGTTCTCTTTCAGGTACAAAACCGGCAAGAACAAGTGGTTCTTCCAGAAGCTGCGATTCTAGGGGTGTAACAAGGTTGCATCAATAAATGTTTATTAAAAACCATGTTGTTTTGTTATTCAAAAAAAAAAAGCAGTGGTCTTTGTGGTATGGTTGTGCTTGCTCTGTGTCTCTAAGAGCTGGAAAGCTGTGGCTGTCCAGGTGAGTGTCAGCACTTGAGCCAAGGGTGCAGATGTCGCCTCTGGGACTGCCTTGGGGCACCTCCTGCACCAGGTGGGGCCAGGGCTGCTCTTCCCTCCTGCACCTGTAGGTTGATGTCATTCCTGCCACACTGGAAATCTCTTATCCCCATAACTGTGATGATTCCTGTGAGAGAAAAGGGGTGGAAGAGGGAAGGTGAATGGATGATTCCAAGTGTCTGCTGAGTGCAGGGTGATTCATGTGGAGACCAACCTGAGGGTGTTGGATTTTTGGTGCCTGAACGGGGTGGTGCTGGCTGTGGCCACCTGAGGGGGGAGCAGGGGCTGGCTCGAGTTGTTAAACCCAAGAGGAGGGCAGGAAGAGGTCGTGTGTGTATTTATTCAAGTGTTTATTTCGTGGTCGGTTTCGGGCAGGACAGTCGGGTGCTTGGGGGAGTGGAGTTCCGAGGGAGGGAGATGGGGTTGGTTGACGGGGTTTCGGGCCGTGGCGGGGATGACCCGGGCGGTCCGTGCCTTCCGCCGGCCGGGGCGGGGCGGGGTGGTGCCGCGGAAGCGAAAGCGAAAGGGAGCCGGCGTGGGGCCCCCCGGCAGCGGAGACCGGGCAGGGAGAGCTCCCCTGGGCTCCGGTCCGTGCTGCCGCCAGCGCCGCGGGGATGGACTCGGAGGAGGTGAGGAGGAGCTGAGCCGCAGGGACCTGCGGGGCGGGGGGCGGAGAGGCCGGGGCAGAACGGCTGAGACCCCTCCTCTGGTTAGGACTCCTTCGTCCGGCTACACGACGGCCCGGAGAGTCCCGAGCAGCTCCACAGGGAGATCGAGCAGTCCAAGGTGCGTCCGGGAGAGGGGATTGATCGGATGGATCCCGACGGCCCGGAGAGCCCCGAGCAGCTCCGTAGGGAGATCGAGCAGTCCAAGGTGCGTCCGGGAGAGGGGATTGATCGGCTGGATCCCAACCGCCTGGGATCGCCCCGGGATCTGCCCAGCCGGCCCTGGCCATGAAATCGAGTGTCTTTTCTTGGACTATGAGCCAGAGGCGGTGGAGAGGGCTAATCCCATGGAGAAGAGAGCCTGTCCTGGGATCCAGGCTCATTCCCAAAGGAGCAGCCTGTGCCAGGGCTGGGTGGCCAGTTGGGTGGCACAATGTCTGCAGGGTCTTACTGTCTGATGGTGCTTCTCACAGGAGCTTTACAGTCTTCTGGAGCAAGACTGTGTAAAACTACAAACGGCCAAGGAAGCTACAGAGCAAAGGACACAAGAGCTGAGGAAAGAGGGAAAAGTGCTGCATAAAATTCTTGAACATCAGATGTCTTTAAACAGAGGTGAAGAGAGAGCCCACCAGGTTGGTCTTCAGAGGATGTGTCTTTGGCTTGGAAAGGTGTGGGTCATGGAGGGGCTGCATCACGCAGCTCACTGCTCTGAGATCGCTTTGCTCTGGGTCTGGTGGAGGTTTCACAGGAAACAGGCCTGTGCTGGGAAGTGAGGCAGTGCCATGGCTGCGAAGGGAGAGCTGTCCTCAAGGGCAAGGAGCCAGGGCAGGGCTGCAGGCAGTCAAGAGCAGGAAAACGGTGTGGGTGAAGCTGTGTCCAGGAATAGTGCTGTGCTCAGAATGAGAAGTGTGCTGCAGCCCCTCATGTCCTGGTGTTCCCTTACTGCCCCCTCTTTCCTTCCTTCCAGATGGAGCTTTTTGCAGCACAGGAGGAGAACACCAGACTGATGAAGGAGAAGCAGGTCCTGAAAAATAAACTGGAAGAATTGAAGAGGGTCCCCCAGGGTGATCTTGCGATGGTAATAGAGTGTGTGTGGGCGCTCAGGTCTGCTGGCAAGAGTGCAAGCCTGACTGGAGAGGCTGCCAGCAAATGCAGCTGGGCACTGTGTGATGACTGGCACAGATCCTGCTGACAGGTGGCTCCTTTCCAGAGCCAGGAGCTCCAGTCATGGCTTTGGGACTCCAGGCACAGCCAGACCATAGGAGAGACTCTGCTGAGGCTCTCCAGCTGTTTATTTTGAACCATGAGCTTGAGACATGCCTGTGCAGGGTCTGGTCTCCTCCAGGTGCTGTCTGTACTTGAACCTAGATGCAGTCTGACTTGCCAGAGAAGAAAATGGTGTTTAAGGGACTTGCAGCAAACAAGGAGGACATGAACAAACTGATGCTCACCCCACGAATCTGCTACCCTCTGCCAGGGGGCTCAGCTCTCATCACCTTTGAGAAGGCAGAGGGTAAGTGTGAGAAGAGCACTGCCCTGGCCTGGTGTCCTGCTCAATCACTTTGGGGCCTGCCCTGTGTCCCCTCCAGGGCTCGGTGCTGCCCCTCCACCTGTGTTGTGTGGGGCTCCTCCCCGAAGCGTTGCCTGCACTGTGTCCTGTTCTGCAGAGCGCTGGGAGCGGGCAGTCACTGTGCTGGGGCTTCTCCCTGCTCTGTCCTGTCCCACAGACTGCTGGGAGCAGGCAGTCACTGCCCTGTGCTGGGGGCTCTCCCTGCTTGCAGTGGCCCAGAGGATCATAGAGGTGAAAGAGCACACAGTGGAGCTGAGCTGCTGGGAGGAAGTGGAGGACCTCGACCAGTGCAGAATTCGAGTGCAGGCAGCACCTGTGGAGATACTGCTGCCATCTGCCCTGGAGGTAGGGCCCGAGAGCCTGCTGCATCCCATGCCACAGAGCTGCCCTGGGCACAATGCTCCCCCCTGCTCGAGCCTGCCACTGCCAGGGCACTGCCACCACCAGGGCACTGCTGCCAGCCCCGCTCAGTGCTGCTCCCCTGAGCTCTGGGGCCGGCCCTGCTCTGGCACTGAATGGCCTGTGCCACTCACAGATCAGCCTGACTCAGAGCAGCAGGAGCATCCTTGTGTCTGACCTGCCCAGCCTGGACATCACTGAGGAGGCACTGCTGGACAAGCTGGAGCTCTTCTTCAGCAAGAAAAAGAATGGGGGCAGCGAGGTGGAGAGCAGGGAGTTCCTGGGCGACTCTGACCAGGTGGTGCTGACCTTCACACAGGATGGAGGTGCGTGGGGTGTGCTGAGCTTGGGCGGCTGGCAAGGGTGGAGCAGCCCAGCCTGTTCTGGAGGGAAATGGGCCATCTCCTGAGGGCAGATGTAGCTGTGTCTGAGGAACAGGGAAGGCACAGTGAGCCCAGGTTGTCCTGCCTCCCCTGAGATGATGCTGATGTAGGTGAGCTTGATAATGAGTTGGGCAGTGTCAGCCTTGGTGCCTATGCCAGGGACATAACCTCCCTTGGAGCTCATCTGGGGCCTGGGCAGTTCAGGGCTTTCCTCTCCATCTTCAGTGGCAGAGCTGCTAATTGAGAGAGGACGCATCCAGGTTCCTATTGTGGGAGGAAAATACGAAGTCAAAATATCACCATGCATGAATGGAGACATCACCAACTTGCAGGTAAAGGCACGAACCCTGTGCAAGCAGCACCTGCCAGCCTTTGCCGAGGCAGCACAGGTGGGGGCTCCTGAAGCACCTCTCCCTACTCCACCACACAGCTCATCCCTGTCTCTGTCCAGTTCCAGCCCTCCTGCTGTCCCAGGACTGTCCTGCTCTCTGGCATTCCCGACGTGCTGGCTGAGGAGTCCATGAGAGACACCCTGGAGATCCACTTCCAGAAGGCCAGCCTCGGCGGCGGGGAGGTGGATGCCCTCGCCTACGTCCCAGCAGGGCGGACGGGGGTGGCCGTGTTTGTGGAGGACACAGGCTAGTCCTGGCCATCCCAGGGCTAGTCCTGGCCATCCCTGTCAAGCCGAGACTGTGGCGCTCCGTGTGCCCCCGGGCACGGCGAGAATTAAAGCATCTGGCGAGAGCACCGTGTCTGTCGTGCTGGGGTCGGGCCGGGCCGGGAGCTGCATGCAAGAGCCGTCGGGGAGGCCGGGCCCTTCCCGGGATGGGGGCGGCGGCGCCGGGCCCCCGGGCCGCGCTCTGTGGGGCCGGGCCGTCCCGCGGGGCCCGGGGAGGTGCCGGCCGGGGCGGGGCGGCCCCGCTTTCGCTTTCGTTTCCCTGCGGCAGCGGGGCCGGGGCCGGGCAGGGGCCGCAGAGCCGGGGTGTGACGGGGCGGGCGAGGGCCCGGTGCGGCGAAGCGGCGGAGCCGCCGCTGGGGCTCCCGGGAGGCTCCCGGTGGCCGCGGGGCCCGGCGGGCGCGGCCGCTCCCCGCGGGCATGGCGGGGCGCACGGTGCGGGTGCGGGGCCTCCCTGCCGAGCTGCCTCCGGACAGGGTGGCCGACAAACTGACCATCCACTTCCTGCGCTCCCGCAACGGCGGCGGGGACATCGCCGAGGTCCGGATGCTGCCCGGGCCCCCGCCCTGCGGCCTCATCACCTTCGAGGCGCCGGAAGGTAACGGCCGCGGGACCCTCGGGGGCTCTGTCCTGCCGTCTCCTGTCCCGCCATCCCCTGCCCCGCCGTGCCCCTGTCCCACCGTCCCCGCAGCCCCGCTGCTGCCCCTCAGCTGGGCTGACGCAGGTTCGGGTGGCTTTTCCCACCAGTGGCCCAGAGGATCCTGAAGCTGAAGGACCACGTGCTGGCGATCGGAGGGATGCAGTACCCACTGGAGGTGACCCTGCACACTGAGGAGCTGAGCCCCGATGAGGTACCGGCTGTTTGGAGAGCTCTCAGTGTGTAGAAATGCAGTCACATCTCTGCGTGACTTCCCCCTCTCATTCCTTGGTTGCAGAAAGCTTTTGACAAGTGCACAAGGTTGAGGAGTCACTTAGTGTGGGTCTTTCGGTCCTGCCTGTATCAGGCTCCATCTCTCCTGAAAGCCAGATGCTGAGGGAGAGAGATGGAGGACTGGTCATCTCTTCTGTCATAATAATACAGGGGTCAGGTGCACTTGCCTTCTCTAGTGCCTTGGAGGGGGGTAATTTTTGCTCCTTGCTCTCTCACTCCCTTGCTATCTACTTGCAGATCTTCATACGTGCGTGCATGATAATTGACTATGGCAAGCTTCCTACTGGCAAAACCCTCCTGAGGGACTTGCACAAGGGCTACAGCAATGTGCAGTTCAACTTCGATTCTAAAAACACACACTGCGTAGTCCAGGGCCCATTCACTGAGCTGCAGGCCTTCAGCAGAGACCTGCTGGGCAGTCTGAACCTCAGAAGCAAAGCCACTGGGGAGATCCTCCCGCCAGGTTCCAGCCGTGGGGCCAAAGAAATGGGAATGCACGATCGTCAGCAAGTGCCTGACTCCACTGAGTCAGCAGAAGAGACAGCAAAGCTGCCAAATGGGGACCAGATGTGTGAAATGACAGCTAAAATCCCATCACCTCGGGGCCCAGTGGATGGGGAAGCTGTGGAACAGCTAGAGGAATTTTCTCTAGTGCTGGACTTGGACATCTACTTGTACATGCAGAGGTTCTGTGCTGCCGAGTACCAAGGTGTGCTGCGCCAGCATCGCGTGGATGTGGTGGATGTTAGCGGCGATGGCATCACCATATTGTACCTCCAGCCATCTGGAGATCTGCCTGGGGACATGGAGGCCTTGCGAGAGGCCCGCCTGGCCCTGCAGCAGCTCTACCAGCAGCTGGAGGTGAGCCTGCGCAAGGAGAAGATCGCCAAGAGAGGGCTGGGAATGGACAGCCAGGCACTCAGGGCTCTGACACGCGAGCTGCAGAAGCTGTATCCCCAGTTGCTTTGCCACGAGGACGTGAAGCAGATTTATCTAATTGGAAACCTCGTTGATGTGTCCCAGGCCAAGCAGTACCTTCAGCATTCCATCACCAGGAGAGGTGCTGCACACACAGTTGATGTACTGAGCAGCAACCAGCCCTCAGACCCTGCAGCCTCCGGCACCACAGAGGCTCCGCTACATCTGCCCAAAGTGCCTGTGGACTCCTCAGTGACAAGGCTCAGCTCAGGCAGGCCAGAGCTGAAAGGTGAGCTTAAGCTAGCTGCCAACTTCAGTGCCCTGAAAGCTGACAGGTCTCAGGCTGGCCAGGGCCTCTTGCTGAATCAGGACTCTCCGCCGGTGGGACAGGTGCAGCTTTCCAGGAAACACTCATCAGATGCTCCTGGTCTGAGGGACCCAACAGCACTGACCCAGCAGTATCAGCCTCCTGTCCCTACAGCAGGTGAGGTTCTGGGGTCAGCAGCAGAGCCTCAGCGGAACGACCCCACAGAACGGGACCATGTCGAAGGAGGTGTCAGGCTTCCAGGACACAAGGTGCTGTCGTCCTTTGGGGGCAAAGAAAACAGCACTTCACAGCATCCTGGGGACTCTAAAGGCTCAGGTCCCCTTGGGCACCATTCCCTCGCTGGCACCTCCAGCACCTTTGATGTGACAAGGACCTCTTCTGCTTTAGACTCCAAACCCTCTGCATCCAGGCCTCTGCTGCGCCGGTCCAACAGCTTCTCCCTGCTGAGGTCAGAGGAAAGCAACAAGCCCCGAGACAGTGGCAGCAGCAGGGTGAGTGAGGAAATGAGCCTGGACTTTCTGCAGTGGTCTTACCTGAGAGACACCTGCCGTGTCACTATCGACAAGCTGTGCAGGGGGGGAAAGGTGCAGATCTCAGAGCGCCGTGCTGGGGACTGCGCAGTGCTGACACTGCAGGCAGAGGACAGGAGCAGGCTCTTCCAGGCTAAATGGCAGGTGGAAGCTCTTGTGCAGAAGTGCCCTGACCTGGTGTGTCAGAGTCTGAGCTACTCGGAGCTTGCTGTAGATGGTCCAGATGACAGTGCCCTGAGTGAACTGTGCAGCCTCTTGCGAGGAAAATCCCTTCAGGTTGGACTCCACAAAGACAAGTACAAGCTATATCTTGTTTGCCCCAAGGAAATGCTGCCAGGAGTGACTGAGGCCTGCCACGTGTTTTCTTCCAGGAGGCTACGTGCCCTGAAGTCTTCATCTGTGTCTCCAGGACCAGAAAGTACAGGGCAATCAAGTGTCATCCAGCCAAGTAGAAGCCAGGACACGGTGCTGGATGCAGCCCTTCCCAGCAGCCTGGAGTCCCTCCAGATGGGCCTGCAGCACCTGAACATCAGCAATCAAGCAGTCCCCGGTGATACGCTCAGGGCTTCCTGGGTGCCAGAGACAGAGGGAAAGAGGTCCCCCAGTCCTTGGAGGTTCCAGCAGGCAAGGGGGCAGGAGGAGGCCAATGGCCGTGTTGATTCTGGGGCTGGGCAAGGAGGAAGCAGCCTTCTGAACCCTGCTGCAGGGAATAAGCCAAGTCCTGCTGGTCTGAGGGAGTCCCAGGAACAGCTGAAGACAAAATTGTCCCTGGGGGAGCCTGACATCGCCCGGCTAAAACAGGTTTTGCCAGACAGATTCCAGTTTGCAAGAGACAAAGGCAAGAGCCGAGGAGGCCACAATGAAGCGACGGGACAGCTGCGCTCCCCAGTCCCTGCGGCTGAGGGGGCTCCTCACTCCCTGCCCACCTGGCTGTACAGGGCCACGGCTGCTGAGCTGCCACCAGCTGCAGCCCAACAGGCACCTGCAGCAGAGCCCAGGGGCCAGGGAAGGGCACAGCTCCCAAAGGGCAGGAGCAGTGAGCAGGAGGAGCCTGACCTCCCATCACAGCAGAGAAGAGACTCCAGCCTTGGACAGGAAAGCGGCACGATTCCCCTGGGCCGGTGTGATGCTTGCCAGGGCTCAGGGGTGACCTGCCAGGGCCCCTGCGGTCATGCCTTGTGCAGGACGTGTTTTGCAGCAGATAGTGTGCAGCCAGCATGCTGCAGCTCCTCCTCAGCTGCCCCGAGTCCCAAGATCCCGGGGACATTCAAGATCTCCACTCTGTCTCAGAGCCTGCCCGGCTACTATCGAGACCTGACGCTTCAAGTTGCTTACAGCATCCCTGACGGCGTGCAGGGGGTAGGTACCACCCATGGGGCTTCCCCATCCTGCAGCACACGCAGGGGGTCTGTCAGGGTGGTTGGGGTGAGGGCAAGTGTGTGTGTAGTTGGGGGGAAAGGGCAGCCACAGCTCCCTACCTCATGGGGAAAGCAGCAAAGGTATTAACCTGGGGAAGGCAAAAAGCTTCACACCAGGTCTGGGAGCAGCTTGCTGCTTTTGAAGAGGAGAAAGTATGATCTGTTTTTAGTTGACAGTGACTATCAGCCCCTGGGGACCATGGTCGTTGGTGTATCTTTCAAGCTGGCGCAAACCTCAGAAGTCCTCTCAGAGGCACAGCACTCCAGCCACTGTTTAAAACATCTTATTCCTGTTCTAAGGTTGGGGACCCTCGCCCAGGACAGTCTTACAAAGGGGGGCATTTCTGTGCCTTCCTACCTGACAACAAGGAAGGGCAGAAGACAGCAATGCTGCTGAAGAAAGCATTTGAGCATGGACTGACATTCCAGATCAAGTCCTGCAATGGAGAGGAAAGAGTGACATGGGGCCTTATCCCACACAAAACCTCCTTTGGTGGAGGTAAAGCCAGGTATGGCCCAGCTCATCCTAAGTTTTGGGTATGGTTGTGGTTTTTTTAGCAACTAGAGGAGGGGAACCATGGGCTCAACAAATCCTGGCAGGGGTGGCTCTTCCATGCTCCCACAGTGGCAGAGTTGGTGCCTCCCTTTGCTTCAGCTTGCAGGGGAGCTATGGTATGGCAGACTGCCCCTGGCATCCTCCAGCTAGAGCAAAAGCCCTTGCCCATCCCACACCTGTAAGTTCCTCACGGACAGGAATTCCAGGCCCTGTTCACTTACAGCCTTTCCCGTGACAGGGCTCTGGAGCCAGCACTGGGTGCGAGCTGTGCCTGCAGGTGTAAGCAGCTCCCAGGAGCAGGACTTCCACCCTCAGCCCCTGCTGAAGGGCTGGGGCAAAACCAAACTGCTGCTCCACCCTCTGTGATTTTGGCACATCAGCAGGATTTACAGCACTTCCCCCTCTGCTCCACAGGAACGGCTACCCGGACGCGCAGTATCTCCGGGAGGTCCGCACAGTTCTGAAGAAACTGGGCATTGCATGAGACTCCCATGGCCACAGCCCATGGCTTCGCTTCGCCTTCCTTTCCTGCTGACAAAACTGCAGCTTAATACAGACAGCTCAGGAAAAAGCAGGTGTTTATCCAAGGAGCTCCTGTGTCCCCACAGGTAGCCAAGAAATCTGCACGTTAGTGACAGCAGCACCTCCGTCCCTGCCCCACACAGGCCTCAGCGTGGATCAGCACTTCCTAGAAACTCCAGCTCCTCCTGGCTGTGTGTCCTGCCAGCCAGTTACACAGCTGATTTCAGCTGATTTCAGGCTGAGCCCTGTGTGGCTTTCAGCAGCATGACCCAAACCTTAGCAGGAGCCTGTGCCTAGTCCAGCCCCAGCTTCTGGAAGTACCTTCCACCTCCTACAGGCAGGTTCCAGTTCAGCTGCTGCCAGAGCCAGGGCCAGAGATAAGCTGTCATTAGTGTCAGCTCTTCATGCCTCAGCAGACAGCCTCATGCTTCAGCCCCTCTCCAGCACCTGCTCTGGGGCCAGCAGGTGACCTGGTGCTCTCTTGGGGAGAACATTAACAGCTTTCAGCACCTGCAACAGCTGCCTCCCAGGGACAGCCTCTAAGTGGAGAAACATAAATAAAAAGGATTTATTCTCACGTTCAGTAGTGGTTGTTCATGGCTTGTCTTACCCTCAGCCCAGGCACCATCCTTCAGTCCCACCTGGCTACAGAGACACCTCAGACACAAAGGGCAGAGCTCAGCTAAGGGCTTCACAAACAAAAATCACCATAGCTGCCTTCCAGAACAGCGTGTTAGGAGCAACAATTAATAGTTGTCTTCCAGAGCAGAGGCATCTCCTCATGCTGGGAGAGTCACACTTTATCAACTGAACCTGTCCAGAGGCCAAGCTGAGGGCAGAGGGTTCATGCCAACAGAAACCTGAGCAGTGTACCATGGATGGTTTTGTTATGCTTTTAATTACCATTTGAAACACATAAGGCATATGGTAACATTTGAGAGAGGAGCATTACACATAATCATGTAAACATCAGGGGCACACTTCCTTTCTGTCCAACTTGGTTACACACACAAAGCAGAATATATATTTTTAAACAAAGATTTTCCATAGGATGTCCGTAGGATGAGCATCACTCATATCACATATCTGCAAATCAACATGACTCAGACAGTACAGACCAGACCATATGTTGTAAGAGGCTCACTCTAATGTGTTTCACATCATGCTCATGTACTACTTGCCTGTCACACTTTGCCATCACGAGGGCTCAGCACACCAGAGACTTCAGGCAACCAGTGGTGTAACACCTATGATAGCAGCTGTCAGTGGGCCAGAATTCTGCACCAGCTGAAGCCTAAGACCCACAGTGCTTCCTACTTGTCTCTGGTCAATCCATTCTAGTTTAACACAGGTGTCTGAAACAAAATGTACAGCCAAACTCCTTCCCACAGTACTTGGCACGGGCTATGTTCCTCCAGCCGAGTGGAGGCTGCCTTTGCTCCCTTCCCCTCCTGCATTCAGCATGCAATGTAAGCAAGCTTCAGAGAAACCAAAGAGTCAAAAATGTGGCAACAGCTGCCTGGTGAAGCAAAGACCAGCAGCACCAGTCTGGGAGGCCACTGCAGCAATGACAGGAGAGGCACTTGCACAGGCACCCCATGCCGAGCCCCCTGTGGCAGGCAGGGCCAGGGACCCCTCCTCTGCTCATCAACCCCCTACTCACACTTTCCACTTGTACTCCTCACGGGAGAACCTTAGAGTCAGACAATCAGTAAAATAAACATTAAATTGCACTTCTGATAGCTGGAATGGCACACGTGATTAAGGACAGGAATCTCCCACTTCCTCAATAGCACAACTTTGCCCTAAACGAGCAACGTTGAGTGGAATGATTTTTATACTAGGGTTTGTTTTTGGTTTTTTGCTTTGGTCCTTGTATACAAACCTGCTGGTTAACTTGATTAAGACCCTTGAAGTTGTTTTATGTAGATTCTATACCTACTGTCCCATAAAAAAAAAAGGTAAAAAAACAAAACCAAAAAACAACCAACAGCACCCGCCTAGAGCAGAGCATCGAGCAGGGGCAGAGGAGAGCAAGGTTACACTTAATCTTGGTCTTTCTATAGAAAACACTGTTGCTACCAAGGGACACAAAACAGCCAGTGCTGGACTCTAACACACAGTAACTGCTTGGCATTCTTCCTGCCCCGATAAGGGCTTCAGGAATTTGTACGCAGAAGACACGTGAGCAGATATAGGGAAAAGGGATTGTTCCCAGAGAGCCAAGGCCAGGGCAGCAGATAAAGCCTCACTTGAGGACTGCCAGGAGCCAAAGAGCCACCCTGGGGGAGACAAGGGCTCTACAACAGGTCTTCTGGAGTGGGGAGCACAGAACCACCAGGACAGCCCTGGAAAGGTTAGAACACCTGGGAAGAGTACAGCTCATTCACAGAAATTCCAATGACATCACCAGCGTTCACAAAAGAGAGCTAGCAAGAGTCAAAACAGGATTTTGGCAATATACCTGGCCAGAATGGAAAAGGCCCCAGTGACTTCCTAGTCATGTAGCAGAAGGCACTGAGATGCTGTTTCCTGTGGGTCAGGGGGGTCCGAGGGGAAGCCGTGAGGCTCCTGGGCCACACCACCCAACCCAAGGCCATCCACGTAAGGCACTGAGCACGTGCTTGACCCAAGAGTAAAGCAAGGAGAGGATGTTACTGTGAAACACACTGGGATAGTTTTCCTTTTCCCCAGTGAGCAGAACCTGAAGATGTGCAGGGTTGGGTGCCATTTGAGCACGCTGCTCTGTCATCAAGGTAAGGTCCAGTTTCTCAGAGGAACAGGTCCAGACTTTCCGTTTCAGCAATTTGGACAGTCCTGTTGTCAGACCTAGTAAAGCAGCATTAAACACTGTTGGATTTAATCTAAATTAGCACGACGGGGCAGATTGAAAGAAGCAGCAAGATTTTGGATTCAGAAAGTTAAGAAGTTGTGCTTGCGAGTTCCATCAGCCCGTATTTATGAAGTTCAAGAGATGAACTGACAAGGATCTGTGAGAGGGGTCCAGCACTCCTCTGAGGTTGTAGGGAACGGGGCTGTGTCAATATTTAAAGTCAGCCAGGCAAGCTGTGCCTACGCATTTCTAAAGAACTCTGCACTGAGTCCAAGCACCTGAACTACAAGCTGCACTGATAGACAGGAGCCCTGCTGGAGGACAGAGCAGGATGAGGAAGAAGCCATGGTCCTTCCCTGCACAGGACCCCCAGCCCTGTGTGGGCTCTCTCAGGGGCCAGGGGGGCTGTGTGCAGGGCCCTGCACCCGCCCTCCCTGGGCCCTGGGCCCTGCCTGGGGGTTGGTTAAGCAGGACTTCTGGTTGCAAGGTTTTGCTCCTGAAGCCTGAGTTCTTCCATGATGAGCAGCTCTTCTTGGTGCCCTTGGGTTTACCTTTTCAAATCCAAAATGAAGCCCAAAAGCCCACAGCACCTACAATCCATGACAAAGCCTCAAAAGCAAAGTACCAACAGCACCAGAGTTGCCTGGGACCACAAGCAGGGTCCAGTGGGAAGCACAGCACCACCCAGGACTCAAGATGCTCACAGAACTGGGCTTGGGTCTCTGCACAGCTCCATTTTCAAATGCACAGAAGAAAAGCAGAAGAGAAACAAAGTTCTGCTATAGGAGGAACACCACAGTCAGCTCCTAAACCCTCAGTGCTGGAAGAGAGCCCAAGGGTCCCATGAGTCAAAGATTCACAGGAAGAGGAGTCAAGCCCTACTGCAGCACTGAACCCCAAGCTGGTGTGAGTGTTCCCATCTCGATGAAGTCCAATTCAACACTGCAGCCCTTGGAAACACAAACAGGAGGGTGAAGTTTAGCCTTAGC